CTCTTGGTGATAAAAGAAACCAAAATTATATTAACTCGAAATTTTTACAGATCAAAACTTTCATTCTGCTAATCCGATAATTGATAAATATGAAAATCACCAGAGAGTCAAAGTAAATCAAATCAGTAGGCAGAATAACACATCTAATCATTTTAGCAGAAAAAAAAATCTTTTTCTTCTCACAGAGATTTCAGGTGATTTATATCTTAAGAGGACTAAGGAAGACTGTGGGTGGATGAATGGAGAGGGTGGTGGGTAAAAGGATGAGTACAGGATGATAAAGATTATCCAATTGCTCTTCCAATTCCAATTTCTTTTTCTTTTCCAAAATTTCATCTCAATCTCTTTCTCTGATCTTGTTATATAACAGGAGAAGGAAAAAAAGTGTTGTTCTTGTTTGGTGTCTTGTTGTGTAGAGAAGTGAAAAAAAAGAGATCAACACAAGATGAAAGATGATGAAGAAGAAAAGAAGATGAAGATGAAGAAGAGAATAGATAGAAAGTTATTCTCATGTTGACATTGTTACATAACATTTTCTAATTCTATTCTTACCCCTCATCTTTTCCTTCATCATGAAGCTTTTTCAAAGATTCATTCTCGAAACTAAATCAATGGATCCTAAAGATGAAAAAGAAAAAGAGAAAATTCTTCAATCATACATTCTTCTTCTTCTTCCTCATCATCATATTTTCTCCACTGAAAACTATTCTCACAGTCTTCTACACTTTATTCACCTTTTCACCTCTTCCATCTTCCTCATCATCAGCCACTTCCCAGTTAAAGAGCAAGACCTCACCCTTTTCTCACCCTTTCCTCTCTCATTCTCTTTATAAATTAATTAACATTCATCTTAACAGACTTTCTTTCAATAGGATAATAAGTTCATGATATCAAGTAATTTGTTCAACACTTAACTTTGATACTAATACTCAGGTTAACATAAAAAGTTTCGCAAGTTTCAAGATTGAATAACTAATAATAATTTGTAACCTTGAGTTAGCAAGATTTTGCTTCCTGTTTCTGAATAACTTTTCCATCAACATGAAACTGATAATGAACAAACTTAATAAAATAATAAACAAAAGGAACCATAATGAACCCCCCAGAATAGACTGAATAAATTTAGTGACACTGAACTTTTTTTTGTCATTCTTCAGACATTATTAGACTTTTGCATATAATGTTTACGTTAATGATGATGATTTGTATCATCATGAACCTTTGTTCATTATCTTTCATTTTATCAAAATAAAGAAAGAAAAAAACTCAACTTAGCTTTAATATCAAGGTTAGATACATGGATAGTATTCATAGTTAATTACAATTCATAATTAGTCATCTTCATTAAAGTATTAATATTGAACTAATACAACATATCAAAGCGATATGATGATGAAAGATTCATGAACATTTCCACTCTCGACAAGAATGAATTATTATGGGAAATCGTTTACGTCGCCCATGAATCCGGAAAATCAATTCATCCTTTTTTGTCACAAAATTGATTATCTATTGTTGTTATAACCTTTATATTAATACTTTGGTTTAAATTGTTATTGTTTATCATGGTGTTTAAAATTTGATTGTTCAGATGAAAACTTTGATTCCTGAAACACTGAATGTTATTGAGTTTTTTTTTGTTCAAAATTCAATCGATAACTGAATCGAGAAATAATGAAACATTCAGAATGAATTTTTTTTTTCTGTAACTTCCTTTCCATGCTTTTTCATTTCTCTCAACTCAGGGAGCAATTTTTTCATCTTTATCTCTATCATCATCATCATCATCATCTCAGGATGAAATATATATTCTATGTACCCTTTGCCTTGATGATGATCATTATCATTATGAAAACTGTGTGTGTGTTGGCTTGTTGTTACTCTTGAATTGCTTTTCTGTAGATGAGCTGAAATGATATGAGAAGTTGGGAACAATTTCCTTGGAATCAAAATAATTGGATGAATTTTCTGATAGGCTTAAGATTGATGGTTACCCTGTTATCTTTTTGATTATCCTCCATCTTTGTCTTTTCCATCTTCCTTTTGTCCCAACTATACAACTCAAGTGGCAAATTTATGATTTCAAATGATTAAAGGGACTGGGAGTGAGAAGAAGATAAAAAAATTCTGGATAAACGGAGTTACAGTTAAGGACACAAGTTGATTTGCTGAAGTAACTGAAAGAAAAAAGTGTTTGATGAGAAATAAATCACAAGAAAATGATTCCAATCCAATATTGTTGGCAATTAGTTAAATGTACCATCTCAATCTAATCATATCGAAGAAATTTATTATCAATAATCAATTGCTACAAATTCCATCTCTTATTAATTAAACAAATTGGTAAAGTTTCACATCTTTACTGATCAAATTCAAATGCCAAGATATCAGAAAAGTATACAACCAATAGGAACTAAACCGAATCACATGAAAAGTTGAGTATTTTTTGCACTACTTTGTATCATTTTACATTGTGTGTCTATGATAAATGATTGTTATCATGATATTTATCCCCTTACTCCCTCCTACTATTATTATCATCATCATTCATTAGGTGAACCGTGATTCCTTCATCATCTCTCCAAAGATGGAGATAAATATTTCCTTTTAACAATGTTATATACATTTAAGATGAAATGTCAACCCAAAGACGAAGTAGATAAAGAAGTGACTGGGACTTGAACATATCATCAAATTGATCAAAATTGATTAACTTTACTTGTTACTGACCAGTGGAAAAAGATTACAGAAAAGTAATCATTTTCGTCTTTATATTCCTCCTTCATATCATCATCATTATTATTATCCTTTTATCATCACTAACATTGTAATCTACAAATGATGATATGAATTATGAAACATAATAGATAAGCAATAATCTTGCAAAAGTAACAATGTGAATGAGATTAAGTTAAAACTGCCAAAGGCTTGATACAATTGAAACTTTCGATTACTACAATCAATTAAACTATTAACTTTGTTGATATCGACAAATTACACTTGTACAGTCCTCGTTAAAAGTTGTCACTGGTAAAATAACGCGTTTCAAGGTCATTTGAAGGCATTACCATAAAAAAGTATGTGTGAAAACACCAGTATCAAGTTTTCAGGCTCGTATGTCTTTGTATTCAACTGTTAAGATAAGTTTTGTTAATTAAAGAATCTCAGTAATTGAACTTTTTAATTAAACTGCAATATTTTCTGCTTGACAGTTACTGTTGGGGATTCTCGATAAGAGAGCTCAGAATAAAAAGATCGTATCGGAACAAAATAACTTTTATTGAAACACTAATTAAAGAGACTTTAGTTGGTGGTAGTTTTAAGGATGGTTTAGGTAGAAAGCACAATGAGAGATTTTGAATAGGGTTAATTAAAGGACATAAGGGTGAAAATATTAACTATTAATGTAATGTAAAAAGGCTTTGTATTTATACATAAGGGTTTATTCCCTAGAGGAGATTGTGATGTAATCAATGGACGATGGGGTGGTCAACTAATTACGATTAAAATGAAGCTATTTCCCTAACAGTTACAACAAACTTCAAAATCTTGCCCAGGATGAATAAGCTTGGAAAATCATAAAATGACCATAAAATGACCTTGAAACTCGTTATTTCACCAGTGACCTGAATGACCTTGATCTTTTAATATGACAATCCAGTATCGCTCAAACTCATACCACTCAAGTCGCCTTCACTCTTCGTTGCTGAGATTATCTCAAAAAACATCGGCGAAAATAGCTGAATAGCCCTGTAGTTTAAAATTTCAGGTACGAGATTTTAATACTCTCATTAAAAATGAGAAGATTAAACCCTATCTATGATTTCACTGATGATCAGATTAGGATTTTAAACTGTTTAAAAGATTTACCCTTGAACTCTCTCGTTTTTAGTGTTTTTAAATTTCATTCGCGATCCCGGCCGTAGAGAAATAACAGAGGACGAAGTCAGATCGTATCTCCGTGATCAACGATACTTATGTATGGAGAAAAACGTTGCCCAGTCTGTAAGTATTGGTTATATTATCATGCAGGTCGTTTTTATCAACTAAAGCTGATTTCACTGAATATCTCAAGAGCTCACAGTCATTAGAATGTCAAACGAGACCACAGGACTGAATAGAATTGAAGTGTTTGGCCTTACGATTTTCAAGGTCCGTGAGGATGTATCCCGAAGGACACGTTGAAAAGTAATTTTACGGTCACCATGTGAAAGAACACAAGTAGTTTCGCAGAAGTCTTTGGGTTTGATGAAACTTATTCAAACAGCAGCTGAGATAGAGACTTTTCTCATGAACTTGTGTCCCGAAGTGTTTCTAGATTGAAAATGGTTATCTTATAATCCTGTCACCAAAGTGACTCTAAAATAAAATTTTAGGAATAATTTGATAACGGTTATACTCTTTCGCACGGTTACCTATCAACGTTTCCTTCGTGAAACCAATTTATTTAAGATTCAAATCGTAAACTGACTAGAGATATGATGGATGTGATAATCATTCTAGTTCATTTCAACAAAATCAAATCTGTTTATATTCAGGTAAAATATAATATTCTTCAGTTTTATTCGTGTACATACACGTCGATCTTGAAGATCTCATGTGATCTGCAATACTTTTACACGACCAGAACAGAAACAAAGGAAATGAAATGTTTAGCTTTTCTAAGAAATATATTCCATATTATGCCCTATCAGTTTCCAATATTTCTCCAATATTTGTCTCTCAGAACATTCGAAAAGCTCTGAAAAACTTTTATTCTTGTTCCATAAGATTTATAGTCGGAATCACTGTAAAGGAACTAATCACATTTTTGTAACATGATGGTTGCCAATTCAGCAATATCTAAAATCTCAAGTTTGATGCTTCATATTGATGTTCACATAAATTGGAATCTTTTTTCATATTCACTTTTTTTCTTCTTTGTTTAGCTTTTACAAGACTGATATTGAAATTATCGATCTAAGAAGCACCATGAATGAGAAAGCTACAAAAGAGAGCGATTCAATTTGTAATTTCATTGGTTATTAAATATTCCAATATGTTAAAATGTTTTAATAAAAGTTAATTGAGTTTATTTACATTTAGTTAATGACAAGAGAATGATTTTCAATTGTTATCAATACTTTTTATAAGTATTATTATTTTAGGTAGAACAACAATTCATTTGAATAAAGAGTTCGAGTTGAAAGTTTACTTTGTTATGTTTTATAATACAAATTCAGTTGGTTTCATATGAATGTTTATTTAATTGCTAATCATATTTACAGAGAAGTTAATTAGTTACATATCAGCATTTGTCAGGGTTGGAAGTGAAAAATGTCTATAAGTAATGTACTCTTCTGGAACCTCATCTTTCACTGTCCGTTTCCGTCTCTTTCGCTTTATATTGATCGAAGTCAGTAGGCCAACAAGAATTATAATGAAAACAGCACAAATAGAAACACTGACGATGATTCCAACAGTTGATATCGACATTCGAGTCTTTTCATTGGCTGCAAGCGTCCGAGCCTAAAAAGATGAGCCAAAAATTGAGATAATTTAAGATTAATTTTGTTGAATTGAAATCGAAATGTTCAAACTTGTATGGTTAAGATGACTATGAAACTTTTCATTTGGTTCTAGTTTCTTTGTGTTGATATCTAATTGAATGGTTTGAGTTCAAGTATTAGGTCAATCATGGTTATTATGGTGAACACCATGAGACATCATCAAAAGTATCATGATTAAAATTGTATATCATAATACTGTCAGGAGTAGTCGGTTAAATCTTGCTGAAAAGTAGGTTCTTATTCAGGCTCATGTAATAATAATACATGATAATAAAAACATCAACAACAAGAAATAGTGAAAAAAATGGTTTGTATAAAAAGTGATATGATTTTTTGGAAGAAAAAAAATTGAAAAAAGTTGATGGGAGTTAAGATATTGGAGTGGGTCATTAGGTGGGTCCTATTGAGATACATTGAGCAAGTAAATTTAATGGAATTGTGGAGGGTGGGAGATTATGGTGGTGGGAGTTAAGTTATCGATGTGAAATGATGATGAGGATGAAGAAGGAGGAAGAGGATAAGAAAAATTCTTAGGCTTTTTTTATATAACATTTACTACAGAATAAGAAGTAAATAATAATAGAGATTGAATTGTAACTGCAGGCTACTTTTGGTGGGTTAATATCTTGCTTATATCCTCATCTAACAAGGAAGAGGATGAAGATAAGGATGAGGAAAGAAAAGAAAGATTTATTTTCAAAATGAGTTGAAGATTTTGAGGTTGATATTGACTTCGCAATGAGTATATTATATTGGTAAGTGAAGCATATAAATCGGACCCGAACAAACAAACATTTACTTTTATATTTGCTATACTATCTTAACAATGTTCTGAATGAAATGATTCAGATGATGAGAGTGAGTGAGAGAGATTGGTAGGTGGAGGAAGAAAAATGATGATAAAGAATAGCAAATCAAGAGAGTTACTTGATTGTCGAGAAAAAGTTTACTTTGGTTTTTTATTTTCTTGCATTTCTTTTATTCCTTCATCATCATCTTTTGCCTTCTCAGCTTATTGGAAGAGGAGGAAATTCATGGAGAAAAGGCAAAGAACAGCAAGTGAAAGGGTGGGAGGCAAAGATGAAGTCGTAACCTTTCCTGGCCCTGTTATTGTATCAACATTGACTAATGTTCAGTAAATATTATGGAAAAAGGAGAGAAAAAATTCACTCATGGAACTTTCATTTTCTCCTGGAAAAACTTTTCATATCATGGATATTAGATGAACTGATATGTTCAGATAGAGAAAAAGTTTGAACAAAAAAAATTCCAAAAACTTTTTTCTTCGCTTTAAACTGATCACATATTCACACTATTAAGATTTTTCAATATTCAAAACTTCATCACATTATCATTAGATATCATGTGTCCTTTTTTTGTGATATTTTCCAAATAAAAGTTCACTCAAGCCCTCATGTCATATTCTGTAACTACATTATTGAGATTTTGCATATTCAAAGATGAACTCTAATTGATATGAATTGTGTAATTTAAATTGATAGCAAGTATTATGGAATAATAATAAACACCTTAATTATCATGTTAATTTATATTCAAAGTTGTTAAAATACATGGTTACTATCATGAGTATTATTATCATGCATAATGTGGGTAACAACATTTAGATAATGGGTTAACATCAACTTTAATGATAATAATTTAGGGTGATGATGTTATTATGGTGAAATGTGGTTGAAATAATGATGATAATTATGATTAATTTGGATAATTGTAAAATTGTATACAGTTAATGATTAGATAATGACCAGTCCAAATAATTTGAAAACATTTTCATTATCTTTAAAAATGTAACGAGTAAAAAATCCTCTGAATTATTCTGAGTAAGTTCAGAATCTATCTCATGATAAGAATGTTATCTTGGTGAAAGATTATAAACTAATGGTGATTATTCAAGTGATGAGGATGAAAGATAAACTGAAGAAAAAAGAATAGCATCTCTTGAAAAAACCGAAATATAATCATAACAAAATGAAAGGATAAGAAAATAAAATGAGATGAGATGATGAAGATAATGATGATAAAAATTAATCCCTTATAATCTGGTTAACTAATCATCTATCACAATTATATCTATAATATGAGATAAATATATCAACTGGAATCACGAAAGGATAAAAAGTAATCGAATCAGTTTCAATGAGAAAAATGTATATGTATTTTATAATAGAAATCATCGGAAGATGATAAGAAAAGGAAGATGATGATAATGATGACTGTAATCATGAAGATAAAGACTTTTCTTCCTAATCTTTGGTGGAGAAATATCAATGATGATGATGATGATGATGGTGATGATGATAGAGGAAGAGAAAGAGAAAGGGTAAAGAGAAACATTGAAATAGATATCTAATAGAAAGGAATCTTATCATCTTCTCCCGCATCATCATCAGAATTTATTCTCTTTTCGATTACAGGGTGAGAATCGTCATCATCATTTCTTATCATCCTCATCTTCCAAATGAACATAAACTGAGGCGAAAAAAGTGAATCAAAATACGATATCTATGAATGTACATTAATGAACGAGACCAACAAGGTTACTATTAATAGTTTCTTTAGGACGAAGACATCATGATGATCACCATGATGATGATCATCCTTATCAATGCCTTTCAATTTAAATCCACTTTGAACACAATCAATTTCAATGTTGAGCATGAAAGGGGAAGGAAAGAAGCTGAAGATGGTTCATGATGCTAAGAACTTTTTCTTCCTCAACATCATCATCTTTCTCTCGCTCCTTTGGGTTACTTTCAGATCCAATTAGATAGAGAAACAATAGGAAAGAAAGAAAAGAAAGAGCATGATAAAAGTCTTTCTCCTCATCTTTTTGAGCCTTTTACTTGTTTCCTTTTTCACTTTCACTGTGGATAATGATGATGATGAGGATGAGAAATGAAACATTTCTCTTTCTCTCTTCTTTGAGAAACCATTGAACCTTTAAACAACAATTAATCAACAGAATCACAGTTTTATCACCAACTCTCATTTTCACTCTTCATTCATTCATTAACTTGATTCAACTCTTTTTTCCCTTCTTCCCTTTCCCCCTTCTATCATCATTCTTGATAAATTATCAGCATCATCATGGAAACGTATTAATATCAATACATTTCATTTGAATTAACTATTCAGTTGATATACTAATTGTTGTGCTCCGACTGATTGTTAAAGATACATTTTGACTCGAGTTCTGATTTAATACATTGGAAATTGAATATTAATCATTTTAATTAATCCAATTGTCAATAGCATTGATGCTATTTCTTATTCTTACTTTTCATGTTTAATCTGATAATTGACTAATTGTTATTTAGCAATTAAACGATTAGTTGGATGTTCATTAGCTGATTGATTTCAATGTGTAAAAGTTAATGAATTAATATTAATGGAAATCGATGAATGTTTAATAGTAATTGTTTCCATTTAATCTAATCAATTTAACCGCAATTAAAATGGATTTTGTTGCAATCAGCTTAATGTTAAAAGTTGTTGGTGTGTATAAGTAATTAATTAATGATGATTAACTGCTGGTAAGGAGTAAATAAATCAACATCAATTGATTAATCATTTACAATGACCATCGATTTGGAAATTGATCAGAAAACAATCAATGGTCAAAGATAGAAAGAGAATTTTCTGAAAAAGTTTTCCAACTTGAAATAGTTGAGATTTAAGATTTTTTATCACATTCGAGTTAGAATTTGAACTTTCCATTTCCATTTTCTAAGTGATAATAGAGAAATTATTTATCAGTAACTAGAGATCAACCAGAGATGATCTGAAATGGATCAAACTGAATCTAAACATCGGTATTGGAGATGAAATTTGAATCAGGAACAACAACAAATCCCTATGTTAACCATTGAACTGAACAATTCTCATTGATAAGATGATAATGATTCATTCTTACCTGAATGCATTTTCGATTTGATGGTGAATACTCAGCGTAATTTATTCTTTGCTGACCCACCACGTAAGCTCGAGGTTTGCCATTGTTTTTAAGATACTTTTCGTTAGCGTGTAGGCAAACTGTGTACCAAGTTTCACTTGAAAGATTTTCAAGGGTAACGTATCGTTGCAATGGAGACAATTCTTTCGAAACAGGAACCGGAAATCTTGCTGATGTAACATGATAATCTATTGTGTAACCCGAGACAAGACTTTCATTGGTAACCTCCCAGTGAATTGTTATCCCTTGCGGATCAAGTTTGTACACCTCAAGGATTGATATGGTTGGTATGGGACAGAAATCAACTGGATGTAAACTTAAAATCATCGATGAAAACAATTTACCTGGACCAGCACATGATAAATCCTTGTCTTGATCAGCTGATCCAAGTAAACGTGAATGACTTTGTAACCATTCCCAGAGGGATAATAAACGGCAATCACAATGTAATGGATTACCTGTTGTTGGATTTGATGTGTTGATAGATTACAAAAGAAAATGAAAAGTTTTGATTAAGATTAATTATCCACCAAAGTAAAAACAGTAAACAATATGCATTGAATATCAATTATCAATCAACTTGTCAACAACAGTTGAAAAATCATAGAACGAGATTAGTTTTCTGTTTGATTTCCTTACATTTCAAAACTAATTGTCAATTATATCCAAGGAATTATCAGGAAAATCATGAAGCTAAAATCATCTACAGATGATGATGATTTATGAAGATGATTGATTAACCTGAAAAATGGTTCATTTAACTTTTTACTCTTTTCCCTACAAATTGCTGATTAAATCAAATGCTTTCACTAATTGTTTTACTCTATTTCCAGTCATAATCAATGGTAACAATTTACCAACACGATTCAACATTCTGATTAATATTTAATCTCAAAAGTTACCATTCATTTGTATGGTTACATCATTAATGTCCATTCCAAGTGTACAGTAATACCCTCAAATGATGGTAACAATAACAATCATAATAAAATAATGATGGTATTGAGTCAGTGAAGGTCATCATCATCATCAGAATGACCAGACTGTATCTGAGATTATGAATGTTACTAATAATAACAATGATGATGGTAATACTTATGGACTCATGGATTATGTTCAGTTGATAATTGAACCTCTTTAATAATAATAACATATATAAGATAAATGAATAATGAATAACTCAAGTTCATATTGGACATTTCCTTTCCCATGGTGACCTTATAATAAAGGGACAAAGGTTAGATTATAAGACTAATAATCGAGAATCTTTCTTATTATCGTCCAAATCATTATTATTACTTATGATTATTATCATTGCCAGAAAGTATTAATAATAATGAGAAATTATTATCAGTTTCATGTGAATCTTATCATGTGTTAACATGATGTCTATTTTTGTAACTGTTGAAACTCATTTCTAATCAGCTATCGATTCAATAATAATCCAATGAATTCGCTATGAATTTTGAAAATTGAAAGATTCTCTCGGTGATGAAAATTTAGAAGTTAAATTGTGATTCCAATTGGAACTAGATTAATCACTAAAAAATTGATTCTATAACAATAAAAGGAGTAAATTGTTGGGGATGTTTAATTTCACCAGAATAATAAGATTTGACTTCATGATAGTAAAGTGATGATGAGCTTGGATTTTGGAAGGAAAATTAATTTATTTTGTAGTTAAAGGGAACTGAATTAAAAACAATCAAGGTTTTCATTCATATCGTTTTTGTGCTTCTCTTCCATGAATCTACCATGTTAATCTATTATCTCATAATCAACAACTCACACTTCATTAAATGAACATTATCATTAATGAATGAACCATTTTCATGAGACATTCAGAAATGATGATTAACATTAACACACCATGAATACAATGGACATTGAATCGCTGAATGTGTAACATTGTCTTTGTCACTATTACAATTGACTTGAATTGTTGTTGTTGATTGTATCACAATAACAATTGCAAACTCTAATTAACATGAATGATTTATTTACTAAAATTGAATCTTATTGTTATCATTTAAACGTAACAGTAAATGTCATCATTATCAAATGAAATCAAGAGTTGAATCAAATAACACTAACAGTTGATTATGTTTTCATCTTCATCTTCATCAGTAATCATCATGAAAAACGAAACATTTTACTGATCATTATCATCTCTGTCCTGATGATTACCAACATTTGTTTAATGCTAAATTGTTTGATCAACTAAATGAAAATTAAATTCACCATTCTAATCATCTTCATCGTCCTTATTGATGCTTTTTCAATTGAATATTCACTAACAACCATTGACCACTGGGAATGCTTGTTAACACAGACACTTGAGTGTTATCATCATTTTCATCACCTCAGTCTCTTTATAAGTGTTGAGTTAATTTAGTAAAAAGTATAACATTGAAAGAGGATAAACAAACAATCTCGAGAAACAAGAGATGAAAAATAAACTGAGACAAAAAAACATTCGCATCAAGTGTAATCAAAGTTTCAAGTGATTACAATTAATTCATTTCCATGGGATAATTATTGGTAATTTTAGCTTTTTCATGTAAATCCATGATAACACTTGAATCTAAACAACCATTAAGGCAACTTGAAACACTGACATACCTTTTAAATGTATTAACAAAATTGAAATTAAGTATTAATATAAATATTAATAATGATAATCTAATGTAATCTTGGGTGTTCAGGATTAACTATTTATCTTTCAGGGTGATAATCTTTGTTGATATTTACTGTGAATAATCTTGTTGACTGAGATTGAATGAACTGATGTTACAACTTGTATTTATCTATTGATATATCAATAGATAATTAAACTATAGTTTAATTATGATGAAAGTGTAAACTTACCAGTTAGGTAGAGCTGGTCAATGGTCACTTCAATAGTTTCAAGGGGAACCACTGACATGTGAGTTAAAAAGTTATGCCTTAGGTCAAGTGTTAAAAGAGATGTTAAATTTTGGAAAGCATTGTTGGCAATCCAAGATATTGAGTTGCCCGTTAGGATTAAGGTGGTCAGTGAATCGCCCAAATGTCCGAGGGTGTCAAGGCGACTCAATCTATTATATGAAAGGTCAACTGTTTTAAGATTAGATGAGGATGAAGGTGATGGACCAAAATAAGGCAACTCAACTAGATGATTATGGGTAACATTGAGCAATTCCAGGTGAATTAAACCAGATAATCTTTCTTCAGGTAAAATTTCTAACTCATTGTAACTTAAATCGAGGTAAATCAAACCGATTAGCGGACGAAATGATCCCGGTGATATTTTACTTATATGATTTTGACTTAAAGTTAATTTAGTTATCGCTTCGAATCCGAAAAAATCGTGTGAGGCAATTATTGATAGATTGCCTGAACTTATGGTCAACTCGGTAAGAGATTCAAATGAGCCGGAGATACTTAAATCTTCACGAATCCGTAACATTGGATTACCTGAAATGTAATCCTTAAGGGTAGATAATCCGGATCTTATGAAATTGTTGGGAATATATTGAAACCAATTTCCCGATAAATGAATAACTTGGAGTGATGATAAATTACTGAAAACATCAGTTGAAATATATCTCATCACATTATTAGATAAATCAAGAAACTTAAGATGTTTAAGATTAACAAGTGACCCAGGGTCAAGAGTGGAAAGTGAGTTATTGGATAGATTAAGTTTCTCAAGGTGCTGATAATGACGAAATGAGCCTGAGCCAATATGACGAAGACGATTAGAGGATAAAGATAATACCTAAGAGAAAGGACATACCAAGTTCGGGCTTAGGAAGAAATTCAATTAGATTATAATCAAGATATAATTCACTTAATTGTGGACATGATATTGACGATGGTGGAATTGTATCTTCACTGAAAACTGAAGTCAATCCATTACCTTGAAGGAAGAGAGTGTAAAGATGAACATGATGAAGAAGACGACGAAGATACAATTTTATCATAAGAAGATATTCCAGAAAAGAAGCATCAAAAATGGATAAACTTGATGTCGATAGGAAATGGTAGCTTTTCAAAGATGTCCCGTTATTTGATGAGATGTTCAAGTGCTTCAAAGTGGATGGAAGTGCCAATGTATCCAGTTTGTCGGATGATAAATTATTGTCACTCAGATCAAGGATTGTCAATGAGGTCAAGTAACTAAAAGTTAAAGGGTCAATTTCCTCTACCATAACATTAGACAGATAGAGTTCATCAAGATTTGAAAGATTGGTGAAAAAATGATTTCGTATAACGTACAGCTGATTGTTAGACATTGACAAATATCTTAATGACAATGACAACGAACTGAAACTTGCTGGCTCAATGTCCATCAAGTGATTACCTGATAGGTAGAGTTGTGCTAATGAGGTGACACCACGAAAAACACCTTCCGACAAGTGATTAAGATTATTGTTCTCGAGGTTCAAGTAAATCAGTTGGCTTAGAGATTCAAATGTTCCAACTTCAATCGATGAGATCTCGTTATTTTCGAGATACAACTTTTGTAACCCTGAACACGAAGCGAAAACTTGTTTAGTCAACTTTTGGATTTTATTCCAATTTAACCAAAGGATTTCGAGGCCAGACTGGCCTGTTAACGAATCATTGTGTACAGTGTAGATTGTGTTGTTATTGAGTTGAAGATATTTCAATGAGGACGGAAACTTGGATAGAGAATCAGACATTTCGATCAACTTATTACCCTGAATGTTGAGAAGTTCAAGATTAGCCAAACTCGCCAGTGCCTCATTCTCAATCACCTCAATTCGGTTGTTTTGAAGATGAAGCTCCTGAAGATTTGGGAACGAATAGAAAACACCTTTTCGAACTTTTTTCAATAAGTTCCGTTGTAATCTGAGATCACGAAGCTCTACTAGCTCCTGAAAAGTTCCTGGTTGAATATTTGCAATTAAATTGTTGTCAAGTGAAAGGGAACGAAGTTCGTGGTTGTATTTGAAAAGATTTGGGTGTATAGCTCAAGCGAGTTGAATGAAAGATGAAGTTGATTGAGATGTTGCAGAGTATAAAGTGTACCAAATTCAATGTCAGTCAACGCGTTATTGGTTAACCAAAGCACTGAAAGGTTAGTTGAGTTCCAAAAGTATCGTTGATTAATCGAAGCAATTGTTTCGATTAAGATAAAGTTCCCTTAGTGAAGGTAAATTATGAAATGTTCCAAAATCGATTGAGTGAAGATGGTTATGAGAAATGTCAATCGTCTTTAGTTTAGTTAAACCTGCAAATAATTCGGAGGGAAGAAGTCGAAGCGAGTTGTGGCTTAGATCAATCGATTCAAGGTCAAGCAGAGTAAAAAATGTTCGTTCTTCAAGAAAAGTCAATTTATTGTTATAAAGAGACAGAGTTGTGAGTTTGGGCATAGTTATGAAACTTTTATCAGATAAAGTTCGAAGGGCATTTGAAGAAAGGTCAAGTGTAGTTAGTGCTGTGAGTCGGGTAAACCCATCATCGGTAATGTCGGTGATTTTGTTTCCAAAGTTTAAGTTCACGAAGTTTACGAAGACGACGAAGAGCCACCAAAGGAAACCATCAATTCTATTAGATGAAAGTGTCAACTTTTCGAGTTGCCTCAAGGCCACAAATGAATATTCAAGTAAAGATGAAATTCGATTACCATGAAGATTGAGAGTCTCCAGAGGAAGACCATAAGCTGTATAACTTTCAATCTCATCGATTTCATTGGCCTCAAGGTCAAGTGTTGTTAGACTTCGAAGGCCTGCTAGAGAGGATTGAGGTAACACCTTTAATTTAGAATTAACCAGAGAGTGACCTAAGGCAACCTGAAAGTCCATGGAAAACAGAATCAGATAAATTGGACAATGAAGTAAATGATATGTGAATCGATTCAATTGTTGAATTGGTAAATACACTTGAAGGTAGAAAGGTAATGTTTCCATTAAGATTGTAAATGGTTAATGATTTAACTGGACTGGAAAGAAGACGAAGTGTCGTTGCAATGGCCTCGATATCGGTTGATGGGCATTCGACGTAAAGTCCATCGGTAAACTGGTAACACGAACAGCCCAAAGAGGTTCCATTAGAGTCCATTAAAGGACAGAGATCACGAGTTACTTTGATTGAAGGTTTTGATGATTTGGAATCAATATCATAATTAATTGGACGAAGTGACACTGATAATGATGATGGAGATGAAGAGATTGAATTGATTCATATCGTTGCTGAGATTCATCAAGAGAAGATATTTGCAAAATGATTTAAATGGTGATGATACAATTTCCATGGAAACAGGAAGTATAAACAGAATTGAAATGATGATCACATGATGATAGAAACTAATTAACTTGATTGGAATGTAGTTTACCTTTAGAAGTAACAATTTATCACAAAAATGTTTTTCTTTCATGTTATTATTTATACTAACAAACAATCCTTGTGACGATCACGATGAGTTTATGTTTAAACTTTTCTGATGAACAATCAACTGTTAATCTTCAAGTCATTGTTGTAATTTGTTATTAATTATGATTGAAGTGGATCACAATCAATATAAAATAGTCACTGAACTTGGTCGAAAGTTTTGTTATGATTGAAACAATTAGTTTGATATGAGTTGACAATCCATATCGTTGACAAGATCTGGAATAAACAAAATGGTTTCATTAGCATTCAATAGAAATCAAAATTTTTGGCTCATCATCAGATTTGAATAATTGTCCAATATCATGATTAAATTATTGGTTGATTGGAAATGATAATGATGATGATATTGTAATCAATATGATGTTGATGTAAAAAAGTAGTTGATTCCTATCAAGATGTTCAGTTGATTCAGAATAATAATTTTTTCCTCCCTATTGTTATCATTTTCTGACTTTATCATGATTATAATTCAAGTTAATATCTTACAAACAACGACATTATGATGATGATAATGGTGAAAACAGAACAGACTGAATGAATAATCTTTATCATGGCTTCAAGGAAATGAATACAGAGAAAAGAGGAGGAGGAAAGAGGAAGAAGGAGGAAAAATCTCAAGTTCTTGACATGTTAATGTCACTTTGTCATCTCTCTTCTTTGTATTCATCAATTCTCAAGATCAATTGATGTTGTCATGATGTGTGTAAGATGAAGATGCTAAAGAAAGAAAGAGTAGAGAGAGGGGAGCTAAGAATGAGAATGTTTAAACTGATTGAATATGAGAGAGTGGGGGAGAAAAAAAATCTATCAAAGGCATAGAAAAAAGTCTTTGACATATTAAGATTGTGTGTGGGGAGGGTTGAAGGAGAGTGGGTTTGGGACAGGGTGAGAAATCATGACTTCAAATAGATGAACATGAAAAGTTTGATAATCGAGACTGGATGTTGGTGAGAAATTAGGACTGGGAGTGAGAGGGAGGAAAAAGTAAAGATATTCTCAAGAGTCACTTCGGATATTGAGTTTATTTCAAATTCAATCATGAAAGTGTTACATTGGAAACAATGATAACAATAGATTTTGTGATAAAAATTGAAAATGTTGGCGATAATTTGATCCTTACCATGAAAAAGTTCAATTCTAATGAATAGGCAAGGAAAATAATTTTGAATGAATACAAGATCATCTCATGAAATCACCATGAAAATTTCATAGTTTTCATCTTAGAACATGAATTCATTTTCTCAAAATCAGGTCATGATTTTCCTGTTTAGGTTCAATTTAGTTATTTAATCTACTTTAGCTCGTCAAAGTAACATTTATATTCATTAGAATTTTAATTGTTTATTGGAAATTCCAATTCTCCAATGAACCGAAATAGCTACTAAGTTCATTGAATACTTAATGAAGCAAAAATTTATTCGATTGACATCTTCTTGAGTGTCAAGATCCACATATCATTGCATCATGATGTGAATGCTCAATCTTATCATGAAACAATTGAAATTGACAAAAAATCATTGGAATTCATATCAATAGATTTACAAATTGATAACTTGAGGGCTTCATGAAATCAGAGGTTTAAAAGACTAGTTAGTATTTTTATTCCAACTGAATAGTAAATTCATATTCATTCATTTTTATTAGATATTCAATCTTAATAAAATATATGTTGCTCCAAGCAGATTATACGTTTTGACTTTGATGAATTTCAGTCTAATCCCAAAAGCTGAAACTTTAAAACGAGAACCGTTTTGTAAACGGTTAACTAACTGCTAACATGGTCAAAGACAAGTTCACTTGGAACGTGAGTTGAAATTTTAAATTTATTTTCCCTCTCAAACTAAGAAAAATGTTATGAACAAATTTCAGTCCAATCTCAAAACTGCTCAAAGGTTAACCGAGGTCATCAAGATCAATGTGAATCATTCCAATAACGATTTTTGAAAAATTATAAACATAATCTATTGGTCAGTTTGATTTTCGATCGTCTGACTCTCCGGATTTCTTCAAATTTACCATGAAGACCGTTACCTCCTTGTAATGGTATAATTCTGAATACAAGGCATGATGATGATAGATTTACTCAGAGAAAATATCTAAGGTGATATATTATACTTAAAGCATATCAATAATGCTGCTGGTCATCTATTCACCTCGAGGTGATAACTTTAAGCATTTTAACAAAATGTTCAACTTTTTCTATTCCTTGAGCCTCTGAATAGGTGTTGTAATGAATATTTGATGTGAAACTTTGAGATTATGCTGATTAACTTAAAGAGATTTATTAATACAATTAATAACAATTTTTCATGCATTTTATATAACAAATGATTAATGTTAAAATGTTAAATTGCAGAGAAGATAAAATAAGCACCAAACTCTCAGAAGTTCAATTTATCATGCATCATGAAGTTTTTTTTGCAGATTAACCGATGAACTTTTTTTTCTAAATCATAGTTTAATCCCCTTGTTTCGTGTAATATAACTGATGCATAATCGATGGTTGGAATTGGCTCAATATTTTCACAATATAAACAGTAAAGCTCATGCAAATACCCAATCAACAGAAAAGAGTCAAAAGAGAGTCAAAAAACGAGTTGTTTAAGACAAAAAGACGACATGATGAATCAAAATTTTTTGAGCGTTTTTGATTCTATTTTGAGTGTTTTAGAAGATATTTTGACTCTTCTATTTCAAACTAAATGGAATCAAAAGACGATACTTTTGGGTTGATTCAAAATAAATATCTAAGATTTATTTATTAGAAGAAAATTATTTTAAGTAAATATCCAAGATTTTAATCAAAATTACGATAAATAGAAAAAGAATCAAAATTTAGATGAATAGAAAAAGATTCAAAAATTGAATCAAAAGATCCATGTTCAATAATAAATAATTTTTAGTCGATAATTGAATCATCGTCAGTTGCATTTTCAAAAACAGATTCATCTTCGGATCCATATTCTTTCGATGCATGTGCTTCTTCCGATTCTTCTTGATTGTTTGATTGATTCTCCTCATCGTCCTCGGTTTCATTATCCGCCGATCTTTTTGTTAGATCGAAGTTTCTTGCACAAAGTTCTTTTATTATTCTTCCTCTGACCTTTTTTTCTAAGGCATCAGAATATCTAAGAATCTCTGCCTTTCTGAATAAATGAGTTATAAAGGCTTGAACTCTTTTTTGGCCTAATCTATAGTTAAATGACCCTTCCAATCTTCCAGAATAAGGATCATCAAACCCCCAAATGAAGGAAAGAGGATACTTGTTCTTTCTTGTTTCGATATTTTCATCCAAATAACTTTCTAGTTCGAATTTTGTGATCATTTTCTTGCCTAAAGTAACATCCTTGTAGTATGATTCTGGAAACGAAAAGCGATGATCTGGTAAGCAAACGAACAAGGTTTCCAGGCTTTGAATTTTAACAGCAAAGTGTATTTATCTAGATCCAATTGAATCAATCCTTCTAGGAAAACTTGATTCTTAGATTTGATCTTATATGTTGGATCAGTCTCTGAGATTTCATTGAATGATTCAATTTCTCTTCGATTTTGTTCATCAACGATTTTTGGAGAATCTTGAGTCCATCGATCATTTCGAAAAGAATGGATCCAGTTGTATCAAACTTGGAGAACATTTTCTTTCTATCTAACTCCTTCATATGCTCGCCATAATCTTTGATCAACTTTTCCAGTTTAGGCATATCTATTGCCTTTTCTTCAGATTTTGAAGTTTCATCCATAGAATCATAAACAGCATCTTTTTGTAGTATTTTCACTTTTTCACATACAGATTCATGGGCACCTGAAGTGGAAGCTTTGTCGAAATCGGAATTGAAAGAACTTTCATCATTTGCCGAAGATTGTTCGAAAAGCTTCGCTATTCTGAACACCAAGTACTTGCTGGCAAGGAATATCTGTAGCATCACTCAAAGGCTTGTATTGCATCACTTCCACCGTGAAACGCTTTACCTTTTGAAGATTCTTCCATGACGGGTTCAAACTTTTATTCTTTATCAGCTCTTCTCAAGCCAGATCTTGATTCAGAAGTTGCTAGAATTTGAGCAGTTAATCTCATTCCATTTAGTTTGATTTCAAAATAGTTTTTGATTTGGTCCATGATCCAGTTCGAAGATCGATAATCTATACCAAAATTATCTAACTGCTTCTTCTTGATTCTGACTAGAATTGGTTGATTATAATTTACACACTCCTTGTTCAAAATGAGAGGCAGCATAACAGCATATAGAGTTTCCGGTGTGACCAGCGGGTAAGGTTGAGCAAGAGGGAAATAATCATCATTTTTTTCTTCACAAAGTTTTTCGTTTGAGTTCTCATCTGGATCATGATTCTTTGAAGATGGAGATGATACTTTCTCTATAATAGTTGTTACCTTTTTCGGTTTCCTTTGACACTGAAATGGATCATTATTCTCACTTCCTTTGGAACTTTTTACTTGTTGCACGGATGAATTTGTTTTCTTAGAAACAGGAACCATAGATTGTGATGAAGGTATTTTATTACCATATACCGTAGATACGATTGGAGCTGATAAAACACGCACATTGTCAAAAGCATTATAAGAATCACCTTTGATTCTTTTTCCTTTTAGAGGTAGAGACATTAAATTATAAAAGCAAGAGACACTCAAAACAGAAAGTCAATTCAAGATACACAGAGGATCAAACAATATTGATCAAGTTGAACAAACATCTAGTAGTTTTATTATGAGGAAAACTCGAAGTAAGATGAAGAAAGAATTTGAAAACTTTGCAAAAATTGATTTCATTGGGTAATAAATATTGAGATTGATTTGCTAATAAATTGATTGGTTAGTTCAGATGAATTTGATTTGATATTTGATCAAGGTTCTTTGTTTTGTGTTACAATGATTGAAAAAAATTAGAACAAAAAATTTGAGGTTGAATTACTAATAAACTGATTGGTTAAATGGAAGAAAATTGATTGGATAGTTGAACAAGGTTCTTTGTTTCGTAATTACAAAGATTTTGAAAAATGGAACAAAAAAGAAAAAATTACCTTGAAATGTCTCATGAGACAATGGTTACTGGTTTGAAGAAGAAAACTTTTAAAGTATCCAATAGAAATTGAATTGGAAAACTTGATCAATATTCATTGTTGTTTTGGTTTATCAGTTCTTTGTAACTTTTCCAATAAACTCGGACCGTATTTGGCTTGTAGCTCAGCTAGTAACTTTACATCAGCCTCACTTGGCTCAGAGACCCGACTCGACGATTCAATTTCTGGCGTTTTTTGGGTCATTGGTATTTCCAGATCTTCTTTATTTTCATCAACCGAAGTTAGATCTGCACCAGAATCTGTAGGCTTTTCAACTTGATTCTCAGTTTCACAATTATCTTTCGAAACTTTTCTTTTCTTCAGCATCTCTAGTAGCTTGAATCATCTTCTTCGTTTCCATCAGCGACTACTTCTTCTTCCTCACCATCAGCATCTTGTTCTTCTTCCGGAATATCTTCTTCTTGTATCTCTTCTTCTTGCATCTCTTCTTCTATCTCTTCTTCTTGTATCTCTTCTTCTTGGATCTCTTCTCCATCTTCTACGTCATCTTCTGTGATCTGAGGATGAGTAACTTCATCTTTTCAGGATTTCATTCACTACGTGAAGCAACTTGAATGGGTCAAAAGATGTTGAAGGCACAATATCTTCGGCAATATCCGTTCCTTGTTCTCCAACTGACACGAAAGATTCGTTATGACTCGCTTGACCCTTCAAAACCAGATTCTACCGAATAGTTGGTAGGTTTTCCTGTTTTCAATCGAGACGATTGCCTTACAGGTGTTGATGTAGAAATTGAGGTTCTAGAGAATCTATCTTCTCGATCGTACCATCTTCCACCTGTGAAGCAAGGGATAGAAATTGTTGAAACTGATCTAGTAGATCTATGGTCCAAATCACTGATATCACCTGGTCTTTTTTCACTCGCTTTTGTCTTTTCGAAGGAACATAAGAATCTCCACTCTCTGATTCCACCGATGCTGAATCATCATTGACCCGGTAATAAGAGCTTGATCTTTCTTGGACTTAGCTTTAGCTGCATCCGCTGTGGTTATTCGAACTCTTTCATATTGTAATGCCTTAGAAAGAATAGTGGTTGATAGATATTCGTACGTTGAATCATCGTAGCTCATTTTTCCACATTTCCGACAGACATGATCTGAAAAGAAAAAATAGAGTTAATGTATAATTGATACTTGAAACATTTTCACTTACCGATCAATGCTCTGACTCTATTCTTGCCAAGTTCAGGAACCTTATCACCTTGATCAGTTGTAGATAATGGATATTTGTAATCCCAAAGATCAAACAACGAAGTTCTACCACCTGTTCCATGAACTGTGACATCAACGATCCAATGTCGTGGGAAACAATGTTTCACTATATTGTTCATAACTTGTCTTGGCTGACGATCTTCAACTTTTCTAGGTAGAGATCTGCAAGCGTTTTTGTATTTAGCTGCAGAAAGGGGTAAAGTACCTTCGATCATGATATAACCACCATCTTCGAAAGTTATATCTTCACCGATTATCCGATCGGCTGATTTTACCTCAACTCTCTCACTTATTTCAGTTGTTTTGATAAGGCAAATCAACTCTACTACCGATTCACAAATGGGTAAGATCTTTGAAAAAAGTTCATAACCTTCAGTTACTCTTGGTGTAGCATCGAAACAATCTTTCAATTCATTGAATTTTTTCACCATAACTTCGAGTTTCTTCTGCCAAGGTTTTGCTTTTGATTCTGGAACTTTAGCTGGCGGTGAATCGATTTTTTCCTTTTTTATCTCTGATGGAGCAAGGAGACGACTTGTAGAAGCAACTGGACTTTGTTGAGATTCTAGATCAATAAATTCTACATCATTTGATGATTTATCCATGAATCCTATTTCTTGCTTGTACAAAAGATTTGAATGGTCAATAAATGAAATAAACTTGCTTCTTGATACCATTGGCAAGGTATTTTCATCATACGCAGTTACAATATTAATATTGTTGCACTTAAGCCAAGTTTCAACTTGATATTTGACATTTGGAATCTTGAGGTTTTTCATTTTGTGAGCAAATAAAGTATAAGACTCCAACAGTGGCTTCGAATCATCTGAAAAAAATGATAAATTCACGTTAATTTTTCGATTAAAGAAAAAAAGATAAAAGAACTTACTTCCTGATGCAACTGCCATCGCTGGAACCATTACATTACCATCAATTATGATTTTCATGAAATTATCATAATGAACAGTATAAGGCTTCCAAATTTTTGGCACACATTGACGTTCGATCTTAAATCCGATAGGAATTGTTTCCTGAGAACCATTATCATTTTTGACCCTACAAACGGCAATCACGATAGTTTGATTCTGTTTAAGAGCCAACATTGTTGCCAATAATGTTTGTTGATTATTGATCAACTTATGAGATTTTCTCACGTCTCTTTTTGATGAAGAATTCAATTTAACTTTGACCGTCTTTCTGGATCTAAGATTTCTGTCCATAAATTCACTCGAATAAAACAAAGATCACTTTTTTGGTCATAAATTGAGTTTTAAACACTGAAACACTTTCTCTTAAAACAATTTACACGTTTTCAGACACAATTAAAATAGATTTTGCTGATAAAACTTCCTAAATTGATAAAAGTACCCTTTCCGTAACAATTAAAATTGATTAGATAAAGAAAATGATTAATGTTCCCATAGCAACGTAGAAAAGAACAAAATTTAAATTCTATTCTTTTTTGAGTCACGTGAGAAACAAGTGGTACCACCTGTTTGTTGCTCTATTTTAAATTCTCTTTTCAGAAAATTAAATGTGTTCATTTAATTGTTTTATATTTAATTAATTTTGTGTTTAAGAAATTTTCTTTAATTGATTTAGTTAATTGTTCTTAATTGAAATTAGTGTCACAACCTAAAATATCATCGTTTCTTGAAACAGTTGATATGTTTCCATGTGGACAGAATTCAGCAGAATCTACAAGAACCAAAGATCGTAAGCTACGGTCTGGTTTTGAATATAGTCAATTAAACTATATTGAAGATCTGCCAGATTTTGCTGATCAAATTGATGATGATTCTTATATCCAAAGTGATGATGATCTGTCCTCAATCATCTTTTCATCAGATGGTGAAAGTGATTTGTTAATTGACCCGAATAACCTTCATAACTCACCATCTAAAAAGGAATATTTGGAAGCAGTTCTTTCTTCTATCATGTCATTTGGTTGTTTGAATCTCTCACAGGCAGAGATTGTTGTTAATTTATTCAACAGTTTGAATCAAAGATTCTCTTCAGATCCAATTTGTTTGCCCAGTATTAGATATTATTGGGACAAAAAATCAAAGGAAAATCCGGTTAAATGTTATATTTTGTGTGATGAAAAACATGCACATGGACCCTTCATCGGAGAGCCTAAAGACTTTGGTTTTTTCATCTGTGGTGATCAACATGTCAAGGGAACAATAAAGAATGATCAATATTTTCTACATATAAGTTTAAAGAAGCAACTAGAGAATCATCTCCCATCTTTCAGTGAAAATGATTATCTTGAGGTGAACGATGACGAAGAAATCAATGATATTTGTTCTGGTTACCAAGCTAAAAAACTCAAAAGTGACAGTTCAGATACAGATTCGAAAAAGTTTTCTATCACCCTTCATGCGGACGAAGTCCAAGCTGGTAATAGCTCTAACATCAAGATTTTTCCTATTCTGATCACTTTGAATGAGCTGAAACCAGATATTAGAAGGAAAAATATTTTCATGGTTGGTTTATTTGTTGGAAAGACAAAGCCGAAAGTTTCTAGTTACCTTGGCCCAATAGCAGATGAACTGAAAGAGCTTGAAAACTCTCCAATTTCTTGGATAAATAAGGAAGGAAAACAAATGAGATCAACGTTCCATCTTATCTGTCTAATTGCCGACGCGCCAATGCGTGCTTATTTACGTAATGTACG